ACAAGAAACCTTTTAGTAGACAACGTGTCACTTCCTACATTTTTATAGACTGGCACAGCTCTGGGTGGCCATTTAAGGTACTGTCAAACTGCAAATGATCACATGCATTTTGAATCTGTTTGAAAGTAGTCTTCAGACCTTTCAGTATTAGCAGCTGCAATTTTCTCTGTAGGTTACAGAGAGAGGAAACATTACTCCTGCAGTAGCCAAGGGCTGCTAACAAAGCTGCTGAGAGCAAGACTTTGACATTGAAGCACCCTAGGAAGCCCACACGCTTACCAGGGGGTGGCTCCCCTATGTACTCTGGCTTGGGGCTCATATGGGTGCTCTGGGGGAGGAGGACAGGAACACGAGCTGCCCTCCCATGTGAAGCTGGCTGGGTATGGAAAGGCAGCGTGAACCACCTCCCATGCAGGTCTTTGTTTTCTCACCTTGGTTATTTTTTCTAAAATACAGCTTATAATCAGTTTTCACCTCACCCTGCACTTTTATCTTGTGAGCTGATATTCATAGGTACAAGCACTAAGTGAATAATGTAGCACATGAGTATATGTGAAGCCATAAATCACCCACGCTCGAGAACAAGGCAGCCTTGTTCTGCAGACTGGTGGAAACTGCTGCCTAAGCTTAGCAGGTCCAAGAGGGCAAACTGAGATTTTTCTTTTTTTTCCATGGGCAAGAGGTATTGTAAGGCACAATTTCATGAGGGGGTAATGTGTTTTTCAATCACCTGAAATGACTCTTCAGTGTACACGATGGCAGGGAAAAGCATCCCCCTGCACACTGGTTTCCCAGCCACATCCTGCACCCAGCAGCGATGGAAGCGTTCCTGGTGCTCAGCACCTCCAGCAGCTGCAGGTCAGCCTAAGCCCTGATGTGGCTCCTGGGAGAACCAGGGCTTTCCCTCTTATCCTGACTTTTCATGCTGGGGAGAGCTTGGGCTTGTTTTGGCAGAGTGCAGAATCGCAGGGCTTTGTGGGTGATGTGAGATGAGACCAAGGAGGAGGAGGAGGAAGGCAGAGCTGCTGGTGCAGCTGCTGGACTGCCAGGCTCCGAGCTGAGCCCATGGGAGTGCCACAGCTGCCCTGAGCTGAGAAACTAATTTGGGGTGAGAGGCTTGCAGAAGAAGGTAAATAAAACAGATGATGATGGAGTTAATAAAAAAATAAATAAAATTGATTTATTAGGGCCGTAAACTATTATTTTTGGTTTATGTATATGGATGTTAATTTCACAGCACAGCACAGGGATAATTTACTGCATTGATTTATTACTTTTTTGAGTTCTGAAGAAAACAAATGAATTTTAATTCAAATCGTTACATTATTTTGTTTAGTGTTCCAATTATATTGGACAAACCCAATAAGCTTCTCTTCAGTCTTACGTAGATGAAGTTAAGAGATATTTTAACAAACATACCAACAGACCAAATTTCACTCATGCATATTAATGTTAATGAACTTACTCTAAAATTATGCTAGTGTGTCTGAAAAATTTGTTACACCTCATTTAGTCTCTTGCTGGCACTGTTTAAACAGGAGCAGACACCTGGCGCTCCCAAAATAGTCTTTGCTGCAGTATTTAAGGCAGAATGCCTTAAATGGGTTTAGAAACAGTGTATGTAGGTCAGTACATCTTTCCAGAGCAGCACTTCTGCTTTTGAAAGTTCTCTTAACTGTCACAGCTGCACCTAGATTTGGGAAGAGACTGGATATTTTCATGCTGAAGTAGTATTATTGTTTATATAAGCTAATACGGGGTTAGTGAGTGTCAAAATATAATTGATATGAGTGCTTCTCTTCACAGTAGGCTGAGCTTTGCTTTCCCAACATACATTGACTCTGTAAAGCAAGGGGCATTTAAAATCTTACACCATGTAATAATTCAAAGTAAGTGCTGGACATTTTAAAAGACCAAACA